CCATCGAGTTGAGAAAGTGAAGCTTCTTTTGTGAATCGTGAAGCAAAACCAGCAGTGGCGCAGGTACATTTTGTCACAGTGGTAATTGTGCGACATTGTGGCCTGCAAATGCAAGGTGGGTGAGTGATAGCTAGTGTGATAAAAGAGTATAATGCACACGTCACGCACACGTGATGACGAAATACCAACATCCATGCAAACGAAATACGGAAGGATCAAACACGGGGTTAAAAACATATGCATCAACCCAAGCGGTAGCGAATTAGACTTATTACATGTAGCGTCTCCTTATAAGTATCGAAACGCGGAACGCACGTAGCACTGGTGACTTTATAGCTCGCAATACGGAATGAACGACAGGAGGTCATTGGAAATTGACGGACGCTCGTCTCGGTTGTTCATACGAGGATTTCTGACAGAAATCCAAAACGCCTCTAATGCCTTCCTAGCCGCAATCTCCGTCTCCTGCGCCAATATTGTGCACTTTATCGCATAGTCGCCGTTATGCACCTCAGCTTTATGCTTCCCAAGCGCTGTCGTAAGATTACCGCGCCTCATGCTGGCTAGGTGTTCTTTGATACGTTTAGCGAGCGGTCTTCCTGTTTCTCCGATATAGGTGCATTCGCATGTCCGACATTCAATCTGGTAGATCACGCCCGTTTGTGCGCAATCACCGATTTTTCCGTACGGACAAATGACACACCCTTCCACTATGCACTGCTTGTCGTAGAGCCTGTTTCGAACTAGCTGCTGCTTGATGTTGTTGTTAGGAATATTCACTAACTGAACGGCATCTTGCAGCTGCGCTCTAGCAATGCTCCGTTGTATTGCAGCAGTGACCTTATCAGAGATGAAAGGAAGACATAGTGGCAACTTGCTTTGGCGCGGACTTTCTCGCGTGTTCGTGCGCTGCCTTCCATGACGCTGTGGTACCGTATAACCGTTCTTGGCAGCTATCTCACATGCTAAACGTCGTGATTCTTGACGTTCAGCTTCGCCTGTGCACATACTCGTTGCTGTTCTCAGCATGTTGTTGACAACTGCACGTTTGACGAATTGTGGATGAGCTGACATGGCGTGAAGTAGGATGTTCTTCGAACTTGTTTTACGGTACCACTTCACACTAAGCAATGCCTCCGGATACCTTCACCTGTGTGTTGAGATAAGGAAGCCAACCGTCTCGTGGTACCTCGCGTGTGAGCTTAATGTACTGTGACTGTTCATTCATTATTCGAAAACACTCGTCCATTTCGGACTGTGTTGATGTTATGATGAAGCAGTCATCGATATACCTACAGTACATCAATGGATGACGCTCTAGTACCGGTTCTTCGATTCTACCCATGAAGCATACCGCAAGAACTGGTGCTAGTCGTTGACCCATGGCTAAGCCTCTGACTTGCGAATAGTATGTCCCTGCCCATTTGAAGATGTTGCAACTCAAGCATTCCTTGACCAACGTCATTATATGCATTTTACCAAGCCCAAATGTGTTAATACTGTTAGCATGCCTATCCAGCATTTCGGATAATGCTTGTAAGGCTTGCTCGTTTTGGACATTGGTGTAAAGCGAAACGACGTCGAAGGACTCAATTACAGTGCTCCTTCCAAGGTTGGAGGACCGTAATGTTTCGAAGGAATTGCTGAGTATTGGACAGAATAGTTCCACCTAAAAAACTCGTGAGGCACAATATAACATACTGAATTGTTTGACACAGAGTTTTTCCCTGAAATGGTACGATTTCAGCAACAGCATTGTTTTGTGTCTCGTACGTTCCATCGGAAAGCGACGCCATCATTTTATCACGTTTATTTGTGTTAAGATATGTTCTCCATGCTCTTTAAAGATAGAGAGGACTGTTTTGCGGACCTTCCCTTCAAATAACAACTTCTTATAAGTGTGAGATGCACCAAAATGCCGGACTGCTAATAGCCATAATTGTCCGAATAATCGGAGGAATAACCGTACACAAAATCGTGGACGTCTCTTGAAAAATCTTGAAAAACGCAAATGCACACATCGCTGCTATTTCAGTCATTATTTATTCTACTCAATATCACTTAATAAGTATAAATACCTAATTACACGAAGCAGAACATCTAGTCAGTCTTTTTCTTAACGATAGCGAAATGAACAAAAATCCATCTAACAATCCATAAAGACATGAATGCAACAATAAAGGTCAAGCAAACCAGGAATCCAATAACATCGAGCGAGTAGTACTGCAGGAAGCTTCATGGATTTTGAGCGCAATTGCAGGTGATTCATCTTTCCATGTGCAATAATTATACGTGCCCACTTCGCGATATCTTCACGATACTGTTTAGGGCGGCCACTGAGTAACGAAGCAACGAAAGCCGATTCTTGAGCGATTGCGCTGAATGCATTGTAAAACGTTGGGTGCATAATCAGCTTCTTTTTTCGTAGTCATAATAACAATTATAATCCACACATGCTGAACGCAAGAAGCAAAATATCAAAACTTCAGGAGTACATTCCCTCCTTCTAGAAAAGACATTTTCGCAGTGTAATGAACGCACAGTTCTGCCAAGCGCCGTAGTGTTTGTACTCAGTCGCTATTCTATGTGGAGGGAAGACCGTGTACAGCGTGTCCCGCTGATTCATTATCTAAGGAAATGCAACTCAAGTTGCGGCACTCAAGGGAGGGTTGCGAATGAGCTCTGTACGATTGGAGATAACGGAACTGCTACTGTGAACGGAAAAGGGACAGGCAAAAAAAATGTTATCACTGAGTTTGATAGAATATTTGGCAAGAAATTATTAAGAGGAGAACCCGTTCCAGCGCGTCTGGTCAGCCCAGTGTTATTTCCATATGTGTTCATGAAACAAAGTATGTCTACCCATTCCACGGTTTTTCGACCATTCCTCTTGCTTTTATTGCTAATAATGTAGACCACACCATTTACTTCCACTCATTTTTGGGGTGCCACAACTAACGGTAATGTATGCTGGGGTTTTTGCTTGATAAGAGTTCGCTTACATATGAAACGGCAGGTATACAGGGGGACCCAAAAAATTACTTTGCTTCATTGACTTTCGAGGCGCTATAAGTTACACTTTATGAATTCTGATCGGACATTTCTACCACCATATTAAAGAGCATATTAAATACTATTATGACACTCCGCCACAGCCTTCTGGAGGAGCGCCATCGAGAGATTCTGGCACGCAACCGCGATGTGGTCCTGAGATCAGCGAGATAGTCGATTTCTCCGCCACCGTAGACCACCCTATTGAACTCCGCCCGAACCGGGTAATTGAGGGGATTCAGGTCAGGTGACCTACTTGGATATTCCATCTTCTTTAGGTACTCAGCCCCCTTCCATTCCAAGTAGGCGAGAGTTTCTCCAACGCCCTTCGATTCCATGTGGTGGCACCCAATGCTGTAGCAGTACAAAGTTTCCAAGAAGGTACGGGCGACGACATGTGGAGAAGATATTCTTCTTGAGTTGGTCGATGTAACCGCCAGCGCTCACCTTCAGTCCGGGGTCCACGAAGAAAATATTGGTCTTTCCATTCCAGGTGCGTCCGGTCCATACCATCAACCCGCGCCTTGGCATGTTGGAGGTCATCCAGATCGAGAGTACTGGTCTCCAGGTAGCTATCCCATGGGTGACTCCACACTAGAAGTTTCGCAGCTGTTTGGAGGTGACATGAATTCCAAAGGTCTTCTCCAGTCAGGCTGCGACTGGAGATGACCTCATATTTTGGTGTACATGAAGGTGATGGGCGAGGGCCAGCTCCTGCTTATCGAGGAACATCTTGGGTATCTTCCGCCCTGGTACTCGTATCCACGTCTTCTCTCTGGGCTGCAAAAACTTTGCTGATATGTGACTCGGTCGAAGTGACTTTTTTTTGCCCCCCCCCCTGTATATGATGCAATTTTGGACTCAAAGAACAAGTCAGAGTTTGGAGGTGAACATAATTCCAAAGGTCCTCAAAGAACAAGTCAGAGTGTTTGGAAGCGACTAGGGAGGTGTATGGTTGTGCGTCCGGTCCAATTCCCAAACGTCAACCCAGCGTTCTGAGCTTTTCGCGATCGCCAGCATTTTGAGTGAACGGGGAAGTATAGGTATGGATCTAGCATTTCCAGGGCTCTGAGCGTCTGCGCTTCAAGCCTCCACCAGCGCTTTGAGCGTTTTGGCGACTAAGACAGTATGAGTATCAATTCCCTCTGAAAGCGCCTGCGGATGCCCAAAACGCTCAGAACGCTGCTGGACGCTCAAACTTCCGATCTTTTCTAGCCGCAAAAACGCTCGAAACGCTGCAAGAGACGTATAAAGCGCTGCTGCGAATACGAAAGCACTTACGTGGAAGGCAACAGGAAAATCTCGTGTAAAGCTGGAGGAACTAAGAGAGTGATTACGCCAAAACTTTCACTAATAGTTGAGGAGTGTAGCAACAGCTGCAATCAGTTCATTTTCTTTGTGCTCTTTTTGCGGATGTTAGCCCGTTTGTTACAAGCAGAAGTAGACTCCTCGTTCTGGCCAGCAACTGATAATTATCACTTAGGTGATAAGATAGTATGCAGTACGATGATGTTGAGCTGGTATGACTCCATCAGTCTGAATCTCCTTCACTAACGAGCGGTCAGCGAGCGAGATCCCAGGATTAATGCATTGCTTGAAGCCATCGGTTCTCTTCAGTCAATGAAATTTTTATTGAACTTCATCTTATCTATAGGAGCGCCCATACGGATACAAATACCACTTGCAATATAAGCTTGGATATATGCCAAGAATCGAAAACGTGCAGCACTTCTCAGATTCATTCGGATCATTCAGAAATTGGGATACGGGTATTAGGAAAAAACAGCAAGCTTCATGTGAATGGAAGGGAATGCAGTCCTTCTATGCAACAGGCCTACTGTTAAATCGGCCCAACCACCTTACGAGTTGTCCACAAGGGCCATTATGAAAGCTATGGCGAGAGAGGTATAGTCAGCTGTTCGAAAATGAGAGTAGGTCAGGTGTATTGCACAACGTAATGAGGTCCTTAAAAACGAATAAGTCCTCTTATAAGGTAGAATCAGATCAGACGTACCGGTTTCCTAATGTTTCCTGGATAGCTTGTCTCAAAGTGTATTTGTTCAAACGATGTCTTTCGATGAGGGTGCCTACACCATGCCTTTGTATGTTTCTCGCATTCAGCTGCTGATCGCCAAATAGAGGAATCACGATCATCGGTTTTCCGTGGAACATCTGAAATCATAGTACGAAGTATAGATGTGCCTATCAAAAAATTCAGTTCAAGGCCCTCGAAGTGTTCACACTGACCGCTTCCAACATTGAGTTCATTCCACCGTGAGTTATGAATAGTGAAAGACGTTCATCGGCTGAAATTTAGAAATTGGTTTTATGCGGGTACGCTAAGAACGTTCCATGGCTATTACACTGCGGTTTCTTGTATGTACTGAAAACACAAGACGATGAATTCTACTCGAAACTGAGAGCACATTCGGAGGGTTATCATCAGCACGATCTGTACATGTGTTTGGAGAGAGCCCTCTGTGGACCGCTCCAGCGGCGGACATATCTTATTTTTTCCTCATGTAGCCTTTATAAAATAACATCATAATGTGGACAGCTGCGGTTTGCTCGCCGTCTACGGGAAGAAACGACAAAAATTTCTTTTTCCAGCGATGCTGTGCACTTTCAGTTCTTATTGTGCTAAATAGCTTGACCTCAATTGTTTTTCGAGCTGGCAGTGGTGTCACTTTTCAGAACATACGTCCTATCCAAGCATGTGGTTGAAGTGGAAGTGCGGATACACTTGAATGTGGTAATCCGACGCTGTCATCTATCGGGAACTTACTTCAGGGACCATAACTTCGAGAGCATAGAGCTCAGGACAAAAGAAAAACAGGTATCGTAACGCAGAAGATCTCTCCTTTCTAACAACTACTTGTACTATACCGTTTATGCAACCATTATTCTAAAAACCTTGCCATCGAGAACTTTTTCGGTTTACGATGAAGGTTTCCCGAGCACGCGAGCTTTAAATTTTCCAGGATCTGTAGCTTTAGTAATGCAATGTCTAGGGGAAAGCAAAAGCCAGCGCCAAAAGAAGAAGATTTTCCCTTCATAATGAAACAAAATCATCTAAGAAAGCTCATTAGTCCAGAAAAACCACCGTTGAGGATTCTTTCCGGCTACGGGGAACTATCATCTCAAAGCAAGTTGTCGCTCTTCGAACAGGGACATAACTTCGCTTACAGATAAGTACTGAAGAAGATGTTCAAAACTCTTAGGAATTGCGAGATCCGCTGTTATGATTCTATTTAACTCGTGCTACAACTTCAAATGTTTGGATGTATACAGTATAACAAATATTTTCGCTAAACTGGACGTCCATACTTCAACTTCATTAGCTCCGCTTTTACCTTTTTTCTGTCTCAAACTCACGTTGTCACAGCTTTCTTGACTGATGAGTCCTCCAAATACACCCCATCCTGTCGGTGAGCCACCCTCCGTTGAGGATTTCTACACGATGCTTCACCCTGGTCATCAATACTATTCCATAGACTGGCTCTTTATCAGTCCGTGCCCGCCCACTCAATAGCACCGAGCGCGCAGTGGTGAATGCGATCGGTAACCACAGTATAACCAGCATATCTCTCAGGAACTGTTTCGCTTATACTTGGAATATG